ACTGTGAGGGAGGATTTTGTCGAGCCTCTAGATGTTTTAGCTGTTCAGTTCAGATTGATAACCTTTATTTGGAAATCTCGTTCAGTTCTTTGCATGCAAAATGTTCACACGTCAAGAATCAAGCTGTTATGTGGAGCTGGGTTATATTCTGAAACTCTTGGGTGACAGTGAAGGCGGCTTCTGCTAACCACGTAGAGGTCTTCTGTTCTGGTGAAACAGCAGTCCAGAAATCCAGTTTGGTCGGACAGGAACGAGACTTTTAATGCAGCTGTTGTGTTACCAAAAACTCCACTCTGACGAACACCAGGCCGCCAATTAAAAACTTCACTGGAACAGAGTCAGAGCACTGAGACTGTGGGTGTTTCTGAGCTTACTGTACAGGACAGTGCACAACGGCTTTCAGATAAAAGCATCAAAGTCACGTTCCTGGTGGAGCTGTGTGGGTTGTAGGATAATATTTGACTGTTTTATTGATCCAATGTGTTCATGTAAGGGCGTGGTCTGATAAGTAGTGTTGTGGAGTGCCTCTTTGATCTTGTTTTTTAAAGTGATTTTCAGTTCCAGACGAACTAAATAGTTTAAATACAGGTCTGAGAAGTTATTTATAAAGGGCTATAAATGAGTTCCAAGGGTCACCTGACCGGCTCTCTGTCTCTTTATGTCATGTAATAGCTGGTCAGAAGACAGAAAACACAACAAGACTGTGAGAACTAGCGTGTGTGTGTGTGTGTGTGTGTGTGTGTGTGTTTTGTCTGCAGGCTACTTTATGTTTTCTGTCTGACTTGGCCCTGACCTCTGCCTGCTCTCTGTGAAAAAAAGTGTGAGAAAAATGCTCCGTTTGTGTGTGGGTTGGTGGTGGTGGGGGGTGGATGCAGAGAAGGTGGGGTGTTTGTGTGGGTGTCTGTGTGTGTGTGTGTTGGGGGGTGTTAGAGCAGACTGTCTCTAAACAAAGCTAGCCCTGTCTGTCTGGTCTAGTCTGGCTCTGTGTGTGTGGCAGACACCCTGACCTCCACATAAGGACTACATCTCTGTCTGGACTGTGTCTGAAAACCTTCTTTCTCTCTCACAACACAGAAACATACTAATCTTGTCGCTCTTGTTTATTGACTTGTTTACATGCTTTTAGAATCAGATGCTGTTGTATTGGTCTGTCACAATAGAGCTGGAATATTATTTATTAAATGAATTATTTTTTATTTTTTATCACATATCAACGAAGAAGCCTGAACTAAGAATAAATACATCCATCCAAGTCGATTCATAGGTTGTTGTCAACAGATAATTAACTGCTAGATATTGCAATCATCATGTATCATATATAAAGATTCACTGCTGTTCTTTTTTTATTTAATTTCAAATGGAATATCTTTGGGATTTTCAGACTCAACAGGTGTCACAATTCTATATTCTATATTTCCATTGATTATTGACAAAAATGAATGCAGCAGAGGCCAATATATCCTAACTTTTCTCCCTAGTATGAGTCAGATTCCAACAGTATTGCAACTACACTACAATTCCCACAATGCAACTGGATAGAATCTTTTTCACTTGACTCTCCCAGCGAGAGAAATGTCCCATGTTATTCAAACACCACGCCCCAGTTTCTAATGAAGGCTTCTGTTAAACAATCTGCACTTTCCGAGCCCAAGGAAAGACAACCCCGATGACATCACTATGACGTCATCCGGGTTATTTTCTCACTCTTGACAGAACTCGCCCAGAGCCACCGAAGACGTCACGCAGTTGTTTTCACAGGTGGGACTAACCGTGACGAGATCCTGATCTTTGTTTTCTGTTCTGTTGCCGTAGCCCAGCTGGAGTTCGTCCAGATCCTGGTGATCGTCGTGGTGATGATGGTGATGGTGGTGGTCATCACCTGTCTGCTGAACCACTACCGCCTATCAGCACGCTCCCTCCTCTCCAGACACGCCCCCGCACGCAGGAGACACCTGCCACTGGCCAACGTGAGTCACATGCTACCTGCTAATATTACTGCATCAGACTTCTTCACCGGATCTGATTGATCTCTGGTACACGTACACAATAAGTGCAAACCAGTTGGCTGTCTGACCATTTAAGATGCATATTTGTGAGTACATTCAGCCACACATTCATGGCCTGAAGCTTTTGGTTCTTCAAGTAAAAAAAAGGTGGATAAATAATGATATATAGGTGAAAATATATGAATGCCTGTAGGTCACATTTCTACTCTCTGCCACAGAGAGCAGGATGTTCAGACCAAGTGGAGAGCTTTAAATATACACAGCAGCACATATTCAGTCAAAAAACACGAATGCAAGAAATGTGAACTTTTGAATTACACCTGAATGTTGGACATAGTTCATTGAATTGAGAAATAATATGATTCAATAAAAACATCAGGTCCAAACAAATGTTCCATATACAACCATATTCAACTTCTAATAAAATAAATACAGGAAAAATAGACAGACACATTGTGAATTAATAGGTAATATATGAATTATAAAAACTGTGTTTATGTTGACATTGTGTTTTCAGTAGTTTTGTAACAGTAAGGACATTTTTTAATGACACCAAAAAAGAAGAAAAATGTCCATTTCAGCCATTGTCATACTCCCCTCTCCTTCCCCTGATTCCTCTGCCTCTGTCCCTCCAATAAAGGCTAAACGCCAAAAAAAGTATGTTTAAAAAAGAAAAACTAAGTTAGAGGAGCTGCTGAGTGACAGCATGTGATCATAGTGATTAAACACTGCTGCAGGCTAATGCTAACACACTGACTCATTTCTTCATTAAGAGCCACAGCAGCTCGCAAAGACTATTTCAAGACACCGACACACGCACACACACACACACACACACAAGCTGACTTACACCTGAGGCTTCCACAAACATATGACTTCACTTGCGCTTCTTGAATCACCTGCTACTGAATCACTGATGTGTGTGTGTGTGTGTGTGGCTCCAGTCTACAAGTAAGATATGAGTAAAGGATGAAGCATAATCGTGCGCACACACACACACACACACACACACACAGCTCCTTATAAGCTCAGGGGAGTCATTGTCCTAGTTAATTTGGATTAGCAGACAGACACACTGACACACATACAGTCAGTCAGACATGCAGGCAGACAGACAGGCAGGAAAACTGTCGCCATACAACAAAAAACCTGCACAAAAGTTCCATCCAGACACGTTTATGGAAGTGTTGTCCTCTCCTCACTGCGAGCCGTGACCATGGAGGCATCGAGACACTGATTTCAAATTATTTCCACAACAATGTGAAAAATCTGTTGAGGTTTATTACTCAATGTCATTCTCAGTGATCTATACATTCATGTAGACTGATGGTGATTTATAAAAGCCCCCAGTGTCAGCCCACAGTTGTTAATGTTATTATTGTTAATAATTAATTAACAATTAAGATAATAACAAAGCTATTGCATTGCTCAACACTGATGAATTAAACTAAAAATTTTATTAATTAATTAAAAATATTTGTGTAAAATCTTTAATGTATTTTTCAATATTATCAAGATACAAAGCAGGTAGAAAAGGCATAAAGAGACACATAAAGATGGAATTTGTTGACAACAGGACATTTAAAAATATTTGTTTGTTGTACACCATCGGAGCCCTCTAGTGGACAAAAGTGTAATTTAACAACAAAAAGAAGCACAATTTTAAAGTCACAGCTACATAACGTAGGACTGCACATATACGGTTGGTTCATGCCTTCTGTCATTATGTAAAACATAATAAAAACAAAAAGATGCAATAAATATATTTCTGATATATCACAAAGTATCAACAGTAGTGTATACTATCAATAGCATATATAGGACTATATGGTTTGTTGTTGGAATAGTTTGGACTTCTCTTTGTTGTTTTGATTTAAATCAGCTTCACTGACATGAAATACAATACAGTGTTTGTTGCCAAAGCAGAATAACGGATTAAAGGGATGAACTGTACTAAAATACATGTGTTATATTTGGTAAATGGGTTTAAATCAAAGTGAAATTACTCAATAGATCAACTCAAAGATTCTATTTCTCTCTGTCAGGAGGGAAGTCTGTGGTCTTCTGAGAGTACCGGGACAAACAGTAGTCTACATGAGGTCAGTTCTTCTTTTACCAGCAAGTTCCTTTAAGCAGAAATCAGCCACATTAACCAAGTATACAACAACTCAGTGTAATGTAATACAGTATGACACAGCAGTAATTTGATGCCATTCCTCACCACAGCACCAGGTGTACAACCCACGCCCTCCAGACAGAGGAGTCCCCTCATCCTACCTACAGCGGGAGCCTCAGCAAGCCCATTCCCACTCCCAGCCTCCCCTCCAGTCCCAGCGCTTCCAGCACACGTACGCCCCGAGTCGTTTCCAGCCGACGTATCCCTACCTGCCCCAGAGCCTCATCGATCTCCCCCCCACCATCTGCCTCTCAGACGGGGAGGAGCCCCCGCCGTACCAGGGCCCCTGCACCTTGCAGCTTCGAGACCCGGAGCAACAGATGGAGCTGAACCGCGAGTCGGTCAGAGCGCCGCCGAACCGCACAGTGTTCGACTCGCACCCCCTCGACTCATCCAGCTCCTGTCTGCAGGCCAGGTAACAAGAAACAAGTTGTCATTTGTTGCAAGTTCTCAACTTCCTAAAATGGTTCCTGGGCTCCTGGAAAAGCTCCCGCTGCCATCAGTCTTCATTCACTAACCTTGCTGTCTTGCTTCCAGTTTGCAGGCCCCTCCTCCGAGTGTCCACCCAGGCATCAGCGTGTTAGAGGCCCAGGAGGCCTTGTCCCGGCAGCAGAAGCAGGGCTCTCGAGTAGAAGGAGCTCCCCCGACCTACAGCGAGGTGATTGGGCACTACTACCACCCGACGTCCCTGACCCCCAACCACAACCATCGGACTGTGTCGTCCTCGCAAGCGCCCCCGTCCTCGTTCATACACGGTCTGCTCCGACCTCCGCCTCAGCAGCAAGGAAGTGTGGACAACAGGAATGCAAGGAACACGAAGGAGAAATCCCAGAAGCCCCAGCAGGTGTGACAGTACTGCTTCCTTATTCCTAGCCTGCAGAAACACCAGAATTATGTCTGCTCACCACTTGGGAAATGGTCAGTAGCAAAAACGAGGAACAACCTGGTTTATGGTAACATCCACTCTGAATGGTTTAAGGGCTGGTTCACATTAGCTGTAGTTGTAGCTGACATGTGGTCAGTTTCCCCACTGCACGGATCGGGCTAGGATTGGGAAGCAGCACACACCGGCTTCTCGTTTAGGTAAGAACACCTGGAAATCGTATCACTCTTGCAGAGCACAGTTGCAGGAGAAAATCGGGTACTTCCTGTTCCGCAGCTTCTCACTTCATGTCTGAGGACCACTTCAGATGAACCGATGATGATGTCAGAAGAAGAAAGGCAGAAGGTGCGAAGGGAAGGATGGAGACAGAAGCCTCCTTCTTCCCTTTAACAACTCCACTTCATGCCTCCTCTTTCAGACTGATCTAACTATTCTTCATTATAAATATTTACTTGTTCTGTTTGTTTCTATAGAACTTTTTGTTTGTTTGTTCGTCTTTTTTGCGCTTACGAAAAAAAAATCCTATCCAGGCAAATGGCGAAATGTTGCAATCTTCTTGGTTCTTCCAGGTTTTTGGTTTTCTAGTGATAATCGCCCTCGCTGCTTTGACTAGTTCTGTTTCATGTTCACGACTGCACAGTCCACCGCCGGCAGTGACTCCTGCACCAGGCTTTAGCTGTATCACTGGGACACGTTAGCACATTAGAATATTTCCAGAAAGAGTTTAGATTTAGATAGTGTTATCTTAAACTAGCTTACCAGTCGTAGCACAGTGCTAAAAGTTCTCGAGCTAAACATTCTGCCTTATATCGACCAATCGATGCAGGAGTTGTCGCTAAAATCCTATTTAGTTTTGTTTTTTTATTTTATTTAATGTTTTCTAGAGAAGGTTTGCACAAAGTTCAAGACTGTTCACCACAGAAAAAGAAAGAAATCCGCAATATGATTGATGAGAGAGAAAACAGAAAGTAGGGGTATTTTTCTAAACTTGATAGATTCTTATGAGTAAAGATTTTTTTTCTGTTTTATATGTTGTCTAGTTTTAGAAAAAAGAAACAAACATCAGTAATCTGTTGGGGTGCCAACTTTCACATTGAACATTTTGCTACATACATGTTGGCATGTATATACGTTACAGATTGAGTATATATACACACATGTATGCAAACCGAGAGCGAACTTAAAAAGCACGAATTTAGAGTTATTTATATAATTGCTGAAAAGAATTGCACTATTTTTTAGGATGCGCAGATGGAACGTGTGAGAGAGACTTTTATTATGAAGGGGCTCTGTCTTTTGAGGCGTGAACAGATCGAGAGAGACCTGAAACCACACGGACTTACCAGAGGGTTGGACCAGCTCAGTGCACAGCATCCGGTATCACGAAAACATATCAAGGGGGGATTCTGACTTTGGTTCAGCAGACTCGGATCAACTATTACTGTACCATTGATTAAAAAATATAAATCCCTCGTTTATGCAAACGTCCGAGTCCTGTGAGCCAACCACAAGTCAGCATTCAACCTGTGGGCCCAATCAGAAACTCTGCTCGTAGCTCTCTCTCTTTCATTCCTTATTGGCCGAATCGTTAGCCAATCCCAAAGCTGGCTGTCACTACCTCGACCAAACAAGTCAAGCACATACGAGTTTGCTCACGTTAATCAGAATTTGCCACATCGACAAATGTCTGAACTAATCAAGACAATGTGTAATGTAACAGTAGAACAGAGTAGAATAGGATGTAGTAGAGTTTGTTTTTAATCCTCCTGTGTGTTCTTTTATTTGAATGTCAGAATTTATGTTCGTTGGGTGAAAAGAGAGAGAATCCATGCAGATCCAGGTCGCCCTACAGCCCCCTTAATGAGCGATACAATGACTGTGCACTGCTGTGGCCACACACATACCGACACATACATGTACACATTTGTGCAGACAGACAGGCAGGAAAACTGTCGCCAGACAACAACGTCTGGAGGTGTTTGTCACACACCTCCAGTTCGTCTCCTGCCTTCAACACACACACACACACACACACAGTTCCCTCTGGTAAGTCCGTTCTCTCTTGCAGGCATCTCTGAGCACTTTACTGAAAGAGACCACAATCTTCTGTCAGCCAGCGTCGGCCTCGGCTCACCGCCAGATAATAAAACTAAAACAAAAAAAAATAAAAACATAGTAGAACCTTCTAATAATATAGTTTGGATTCCTCAACCTTTAGAACCACACTTTTAAGAGATGCAAAGAGTTGTGCTCCAAAACTTAAAACATCCTTCAAGTGGAAATCCCACTACCTGGAATCATTGATTTATTATTCTGAAGTCTGTACGATCTGTAGTCGTCTACGGCTGGGTATCCTTTCAGTTATTTCCAATATTATTACCAATATAACAGCGGCGTTTCATTACCAGTGCTAACATTTTCGATACATCACTTTGAGAAAGTCTTCTTTTAATTCCTCAAATATTAAATGTTCTTTGTACAAACTGTACAAGAACTTTAGCTAATTCAAATACAGTTTAAAATTGGCAAAACTTATATATTTCGGTTGGCACCAAAAACATACAGAGGTTTGATACTCAGCTGGAGTAATGACGGACTCACTGACAGATCAAATAACCTGGTTTCCATTTAAAATTAATCATTTGTTTTTATTTTCCCACTGTGGATATTTCAGTTTTGGAACAGAAATCTTTGTGCGTTGAACGCAGCACGAGACGAGTTGTTGCAAACTAGACACACTGAAGTGTTGAAAAGTGACACGAGTGTTAATGGCAACTCGTCTTTTGTCATCTCTTTAGGAGTGTAGAAGTAAAGGTAGAACTTTAGTTTATTAAAGTAGAAGATTAAAATATGTAGAAGGTTTTGTGTCTAAAGTTGCTGCTTGTATGAAGAGTACAGCATGACCTCCACTCTTTAACCCGGTGGTCCACCGGTTGTCTTAAATTTCTATTGACGAAGGCGAATGAAGCCAGCACCCTTTAGTGTCCAGTCTTTATGCAACAGCGCCCTCCATAGGGACCGAACCAAATCACAGCCAAAACTCCCCGAAGCCGTGACAGCTCATTCTTGTAGAGAGAGGAGAGAGTCGAAAGGCCAAAAAAGATAGATTTTATAATCTGACACGGTGAATCCTTTAATCCTTTGTCTTTTCTTTTCTTCTCAAATGAGTCACAGGTGTCTGAGGCTCGATGTACGACACCAGTTTGTGTCTCTGTAACTCTTTCTAAACAGAAATGAACCCCTATAAAATTGGATTTGTTTTGTCCCTGTTAAAAGAGACATGGGAATATTGTTCCTATTAAATTTTTTCTTCTGTTTTCTGAATCCTTGCCTTCAACCTTTTTGATAAAAAAAAAGACAAAAGTTGACAAATAATCAAAAGTCACTTCTGTGTGATTCACTTACCCTCTGTCTTGTTTACTGTCTCTTTTCCTCCTTTGTTCCGGTGCTGCACTGCCATTTTTCTTATGTATTGAAAAAAAAATCATGATATAAAGAAATTAATCTCTTGACCCAAAGCAGCTAAAGGAGTAATGAGTGGATCAATCAATGTATGAATCACCTTTGACCTCAGAATGAGATTATGAGCCCGGTCCCAATATAAGTTCAGATAGCTTATTGACCTTCCTTCCCCTTCTTTTTCCTTCCCTTTCCTTCCCCTTCCTGTTTCCCTCCACCACTGTTACACTTGTGTTTGGACCGGGCTGTTTCCTTTTTAAACTGGTTCGGTTCCCTGCACTGGAGGGTTCGCAGCGGGTATGAGAAGGCTGGACAGGCTCTGATCAGAGCGTCACAGTAGAGACAAGCGATAGTGGTGCTAATTTAAAGTAACGTACCTTTAATTCATGAGAAATAAAACAGTGTAGGATCAATCTCTCGCTTCAGGGAAACCTGCGCTGGCTGACCATACAAAAAAAAAAGACGGGATGAGAGGAAGGGGGAAACTCTTTGAGAGGCTCAATGGAAACACCAATCACACATTTACTCACACACACATGAACTCACTGCTGCTGATGGAGCGCACTACCTACACCTACACACTGGTATGTTTACATGCAGAGAGGTGATAACAAGTTGTAGCTGTTCCCCAGTGTTCATTTGGCTCTTCAGCCATTTTTTTTTTGCCTTAATTTAAATTGATTAGATAAATATTGGATATTGCAAAGAGTCATTGGTCGCTGTAATCGTTTCTGACTTTCATAAAAATTAAAATGCATTCTTAAAGGAAAATGTCTATATTTTGGGAAATATTACTTTTTTACTTGCCGAGAGTTTGATGATTAATATCTTTCTCATGTCTGTACGGTAAATAAGACCAACAGCCGGCCAACTTAGCTTAGCACAAAGACTGGAAACATTTGGAAACAGCTAGCCTAGCTCTGCCCAGTGGTAATAAAATCCAGGTACCAGCACCTCTAAAGCTCACTAATGAACAAAAATTAAGCGCAATTATTTCCTGGTTGGGAGCAGCCAGGAAATAGTCTAGCACATAGTATTTGAATGTATTACACAAACAAGATACAAGGTGTTAATTAGTGAGCTTTGGAGGTTCTGATTGGTAAGTTTTGTTACTTTTTGCGCCGTTTCCAGTTTTTGTGCTTTACTGTACTGACGTGAGAGTGGTATCGATCTTCTCGTCCAGCTTGCCAGTGCTTCAAGGGCATTTCTTCACAGTCAGTGTGGACAGAATGGATGAATACAGCACCCGATAACTTCAACATATCTCCATGTGAGAGCTGAATTACAACAGACCCAAACATATCCTTTAAAGTTCATCTTAAGCTGAGTGAGCTGAGTGAAAGTCGTTCACATATGAAACCAATCAGGTTTCCTAAAATGTAGCCGAGCCAGTAATAACCTGTAGCTGTTCGCACTGATCGCACATTTCTCTTCGCTTTAAGCCAGCATGAAGGTGTGTTTTTGTAAAGTCAGCGGACAATGTCTTTTCCCAGGGCAGTGTGTGTGTGTGTTTGTGTGTGTGTGTGCATGTGTGAGTGCTGTTAATGTACACTGACTTGCCCTGGGAAAGACCTCCAGCTGTCTAGACAAAAACTAAACACACACACACAGAGCAGACTAAACAAACTAAACTAAGAACCAGACCTTCCACACACACACACACACACACACACACACACACACACACCTGGATTGCCTCACGAGTCCCCCCCTCCTTCTCCTTCTGTCTGAACGAGCTCTTCCTGTTCCCTAGAGATGCCTGCTGTCCAATGATAAAGCTCCTCTCAGACCGGCCCTCGCTGCCATTGGCTGGCTGTCTTTCGGTCTCCTTGGAAACGTTCACCGTTTATTGTTGTTGCTATGTCGTACAAGTGTGCCTGCCTGAGACGGGCGAAATGTGAGCGGCTAGCTTGGGCTGTCAATCATCCCAGGCCATGCCTCTTTACTGTCTCAGATGATGATGATGATAATGATGATGATGATGATTGGATGATGATGAT